TTCAAGCCACTGCAAGGAAATCCGGCCTCCTTTCAAGTTAGGGTTTCTCGCTGTATATTCCATTTGAGGCAGCAAACTCGGGGTCCGTCCCACATACCTATTGCTGAGAGAAGACTCCTCTTGAGGTGCTTCTGGAAAGTTAGCATATGTCTTGAGCCTAAGCCAGGGAATCAGCTCTCATCTCGAGACGATTTGGGGTACACGGAGCATTCCTCGAGTTGCTGTCCTGAAGTTGGTGTTCCTCTAGACTTGGGACAGTGTTCTCGGGGCATCTCTGGAGTTGCCTGAAGGAGTCAAGCCACTGGTGGTGTTGAATTGGGAATGGGGGATGGCTCTGGAGTCAATGCAGGGGAATCGGGCCTCACCTCGAATTCATTTGGGGTACATGGAGCTGCTCTGCGTTGCTGGGGTGACCTCAGGGTCCGTCTAGACTAGTGACAGTGTCCTTAGGGACTGTCTCGAGATCCATTAAGCAAGTGGAAGCTCCTGAATTGTATGATGGGGATCACGGAATAGCTCTGCATGCACTGCAGGGGAATGGGGCCTCATCTCGCCTCTAGGGGGAAGTCTCATGGTTTTTCTCGAGTTGCGGCGGGAACCTAGGTTATGTTCTCGAGTTACGGCGGAGATGGCCCTTCAAAACACATGTTTATTCAGTGACGTCAGGCCTCCTGTCTAGTAACGAGGGACACCTCAGGAATCTCTTCGAGGCTTGGCAGGGCAAAAGGGACGCTTCTCGAGGTGAGTCAGGGCAGCCAAGGACACTTTCCAGTAGCCACAGGGATTTTGGGATTCCTATCAGGATACAAGAGAAGTGAGGCATCGTCACCTTTTGAAGCAGTGAAATCCGCGTGCCTCTCGAGGTGTCAACGGGATGTGAGGCATTCCGTCACAATGAGGCAGGGACCTAGGGCTTTCTCTAAGGTCTCCACAGGGGAATCAGAACTCCCTTCCTGTTGTGAGATGAAAGACAAGCCTGTATTCAAGCCAATGCAAGGAAATCCGGCCTCCTTTCAAGTTAGGGCTTCTCGCTGTATATTCCACTTGAGGCAGCAACCTCGGGGGCCCTCCCACATACCGATTGCTGAGAGAACCCTCCTCTTGAGTTGCTTCTGGAAAGTTGGCATACGTCTTGAGCCTAAGCCACGGAATCAACTCTCATCTGGAGACTATTTGGGGTACACGGAGCATTCCTCAAGATGCTGTCCTGAAGTTGGTGTTCCTCTAGACTTGGGACAGTGTTCTGGGGGCATGTCTGGAGTTGCCTGAAGGAAGTCAAGCCAGTGGTGGTGTTGAATGGGGAAGGGGGATGGCTCTGGAGTCAATGCAGTGGAATCGGGCCTAATCTCGAGTTGATTTGGGGCACATGGTGCTGCCCTGAGTTGCTGGGGTGACCTCAGTGTCCGGCTAGACTTGTCACTGTGTTCTTGGGGACTGTCTCGAGATCCATTAAGCAAGTGGAAGATCCTGACTTGTTTGATGGGGATCACGGAATAGCTCTGCATGCACTACAGGGGAATGGGGCCTCATCTCGCCTCTAGGGGGAAGTCTCATGGTTTTTCTCGAGTTGTGGCGGGGACCTGGGGTGTGTTCTCGAGTTACGGCGGGGATGGCCCTTCAAAACACGTGTTTATTCAGTGACGTCAGGACTCCTGTCTAGTAAGAAGGGACACCTCAGGAATCTCTTCGAGGCTTGGCAGGGCAAAAGGGACGTTTCTCAAGGTGAGGCAGGGTACGCAAGGACCGTTTCCAGTAGCCACAGGGATTTTGGGACTGCTGTCAGTATTCAAGAGTACTCAGGCATCGTCACCTTTTGAAGCACTGAACTCCCCGTGCCTCTCGAGGCGTCAACGGGATGTGAGGCATTCCGTCAAAATGAGGCAGGGACCTCGGGCTTTCTCTAATGTCTCCACAGGGGATTCAGACATCCCTTCCTGTTGTGAGATGAAAGACGAGCTTGTATTCAAGCCACTGCAAGGAAATCTGGCCTGCTTTCAAGTTATGGCTTCTCGCTGTATATTCCCCTTGAGGCAGCATACTCGGGGTCCCTCCCACATACCTATTGCTGAGAGAAACCTCCTCTTGAGGTGCTTCTGGAAAGTTGGCATACGTCTTGAGCATAAGCCAGGGAATCAGCTCTCATGTCGAGAAGATTTGGGGTACACGGAGCATTCCTCCAGTTGCTGTGCTGAAGTTGCTGTTCCTCTAGACTTGGGACAGTGTTCTCGGGGCATCTCTGGAGTTGCCTGAAGGAAGTCAAGCCACTGGTGGTGTTGAATGGGGAATGAGGGATGGCTCTGGAGTCAATGCAGGGGAATCGGGACTCACCTCGAGTTGATTTGGGGCACATGGAGCTGCTCTGTGTTGCTGGGGTGACCTCAGGGTCCGTCTAGACATGTGACAGTGTTCTTGGGGACTGTCTCGAGATCCTTTAAGCAAGTGGAAGCTCCTGACTTGTTTGATGGGGATCACGGAATAGCTCTGCACGCACTGCAGGGGAATGGGGCCTCATCTCGCCTCTAGGGGGAAGTCTCATTGTTTTACTCAAGTTGCGGCAGGGACCTGGGGTATGTTCTCGAGTTAAGGCGGGGATGGCCCTTCAAAACTCATGTTTATTCAGTGACATCAGAACTCCTGTCTAGTAACGAGGGACACCTCAGGAATCTCTTCGAGGCTTGGCAGCGCAAAAGGGACGCTTCTCGAGGTGAGGCAGGGCATGCAAGGACCGTTTCCAGTAGACACAGGGATTTTGGGATTCCTATCAGTATTCAAGAGGACTCAGGCATCGTCACCTTTTGAAGCAATGAACTCTGCGTGCCTCTCGAGTTGTCAGCAGGATGTGAGGCATTCCGTCAAAATGAGGCAGGGACCTAGGGCTTTCTCTAAGCTCTCCACAGGGAATCAGACCTCCCTTCCTGTTGTGAGATGAAAGACGAGCCTGTATTCAAGCCACTGCAAGGAAATCCGGCCTCCTTTCAAGTTAGGGTTTCTCGCTGTATATTCCATTTGAGGCAGCAAACTCGGGGTCCTTCCCACATACCTATTGCTGAGAGAAGACTCCTCTTGAGGTGCTTCTGGAGAGTTAGCATATGTCTTGAGCCTAAGCCAGGGAATCAGCTCTCATCTCGAGACGATTTGGGGTACACGGAGCATTCTTCGAGTTGCTATGCTGAAGTTGGTGTTCCTCTAGACTTGGGACAGTGTTCTCGGGGCATCTCTGGAGTTGCCTGAAGGAGTCAAGCCACTGGTGGTGTTGAATTGGGAATGGGGGATGGCTCTGGAGTCAATGCAGGGGAATCGGGCCTCATCTCGAATTCATTTGGGGCACATGGAGCTGCTCTGCATTGCTGGGGTACCTCAGGGTCCGTCTAGACTAGTGACAGTGTCCTTAGGGACTGTCTCGAGATCCATTAAGCAAGTGGAAGCTCCTGAATTGTATGATGGGGATCACGGAATAGCTCTGCATGCACTGCAGGGGAATGGGGCCTCATCTCGCCTCTAGGGGGAAGTCTCATGGTTTTTCTCGAGTTGCGGCGGGAACCTAGGTTATGTTCTCGAGTTACGGCGGGGATGGCCCTTCAAAACACATGTTTATTCAGTGACGTCAGGCCTCCTGTCTAGTAACGAGGGACACCTCAGGAATCTCTTCGAGGCTTTGCAGGGCGAAAGGGATGCTTCTCGAGGTGAGGCAGGTCAGCCAAGGACACTTTCCAGTAGCCACAGTGGTTTTGGGATTCCTATCAGTATACAAGAGGAGTGAGGCATCGTCACCTTTTGAAGCAGTGAACTCCGCGTGCCTCTCGAGGTGTCAACGGGATGTGAGGATTTCCGTCACAATGAGGCAGGGACCTAGGGCTTTCTCTAAGGTCTCCACAGAGGAATCAGACTTCCCTTCCTGTTGTGAGATGAAAGACGAGCCTGTATTCAAGCCAATGCAAGGAAATCCGGCCTCCTTTCAAGTTAGGGTTTCTCGCTGTATATTCCACTTGAGGCAGCAAACTCGGGGTCCCTCAAACATACCGATTGCTGAGAGAACCCTCCTCTTGAGTTGCTTCTGGAAAGTTGGCATACGTCTTGAGCCTAAGCCACGGAATCAGCTCTCATCTCGAGACGATTTGGGGTACACGGAGCATTCCTCAAGATGCTGTCCTGAAGTTGGTGTTCCTCTAGACGTGGGACAGTGTTCTCGGGGCATGTCTGGAGTTGCCTGAAGGAAGTCAAGCCACTGGTGGTGTTGAATGGGGAAGGGGGATGGCTCTGGAGTCAATGCAGTGGAATCGGGCCTCATCTCGAGTTGATTTGGGGCACATGGAGCTGCCCTGAGTTGCTGGGGTGACCTCAGGGTCCATCTAGAATAGTGACTGTGTTCTTGAGGACTGTCTCGAGATCCATTAAGCAAGTCGAAGCTCCTGACTTGTTTGATGGGGATCACGGAATAGCTCTGCATGCACTGCAGAGGAATGGGGCCTCATCTCACCTCTAGGGCGAAGTCTCATGGTTTTTCTCGAGTTGCGGCGGGGACCTGCGGTATGTTCTCGAGTTATGGCGGGGATGGCCCTTCAAAACACGTGTTTACTCATGACGTCAGGACTCATGTCTAGTAACAAGGGACACCTCAGGAATCTCTTCGAGGCTTGGCAGGGCAAAAGGGACGCTTCTCGAGATGAGACAGGGAATGCAAGGACCCTTTACAGTAGCCACAGGGATTTTGGGATTCCTATCAGCATTCAAGAGGAGTCAGGCATCGTCACCTTTTGAAGCAGTGAACTGCGCGTGCCTCTCGAGTTGTCAACGGGATGTGAGGCATTCTGTCAAAATGAGGCAGGGACCTAGAGCTTTCTCTAAGGTCTACACGGGGGAATCAGACCTCCCTTCCTGTTGTGAGATGAAAGACGAGCTTGTATTCAAGCCACTGCAAGGAAATCCGGCCTCCTTTCAAGTTAGGGTTTCTCGGTGTATATTCCACTTGAGGCAGCAAACTCAGGGTCCCTCCCACATACCTATTGCTGAGAGAAGCCTCCTCTTGAGGTGCTTCTGGAAAGTTGGCATACGTCTTGAGCTTAAGCCAGGGAATCATCTCTCACCTCGAGTTGATTTGGGGCACATGGAGCTGCTCTGCGTTGCTGGGGTGACCTCAGGGTCTGTCTAGACTTGTGACAGTGTTCTTGGGGACTGTCTCTAGATCCATTAAGCAAGTGGAAGCTCCTGACTTGTTTGATGGGGATCAAGGAATAGCTCTCCATGCACTGCAGGGGAATGGGGCCTCATCTCGCCTCTAGGGGGAAGTCTCATGGTTTTTATCGAGTTGCGGCGGGAACCTGTGGTATGTTCTCGAGTTACGGCGGGGATGGCCCTTCAAAACACGTGTTTATTCAGTGACGTCAGGACTCATGTCTGCTAAAGAGGGACACCTCAGGAATCTCTTCGAGGCTTGGCAGGGCAAAAGGGACGTTCTCGTGGTGAGGCAGGGCACTCAAGGACCCTTTCCAGCAGCCACAGGGAATTTGGGATTCCTACCAGTATTCAAGAGGAGTCAGGACCGTCACCTTTTGAAGCAGTGAACTCCGCGTGCCTCTCGAGGTGTCAACGGGATGTGAGGCATTCCGTCAAAATGAGGCAGGGATCTAGGGCTCTATCTAAGGTCTCCACAGGGGATTCAGCCATCCCTTCCTGTTGTGAGATGAAAGACGAGCCTGTATTCAAGCCACCGAAAAGAAATCCAGCCTCCTTTCAAGTTAGGGCTTCTCGCTGTATATTCCACTTGAGGCAGCATACTCGGGGTGCCTTCCACATACCTATTGCTGAGAGAAGCCTCCTCTTGAGGTACTTCTGGAAAGTTGGCATACGTCTTGAGCATAAGCCAGGGAATCAGCTCTCATCTCGTGACGATTTGGAGTACACGGAGCATTTTACGAGTTGCTGTGCTGAAGTTGCTGTTCCTCTAGACTGGGGACAGTGTTCTCGGGGCATCTCTGGAGTTGCCTGAAGGAAGTCAAGCCACTGGTGGTGTTGAATGTGGAATGAGGGATGGCTCTGGAATCAATGCAGGGGAATCGGGACTCACCTCGAGTTGATTTGGGGCATATGGAGCTGCTCTGTGTTGCTGGGGTTACCTCAGGGTCAGTCTAGACTTGTGACAGTGTTCTTGGGGACTGTCTCGAGATCCTTTAAGCAAGTGGAAGCTCCTGACTTGTTTGATGGGGATCACAGAATAGCTCGGCATGCACTGCAGGATAATGAGGCCTCATCTCGCCTCTAGGTGGAAGTCTCATGGTTTTTCTCGAGTTGCGACGGGGACCTGGGGTATGTTCTCGAGTTACGGCGGGGATGGCCCTTCAAAACACGTGTTTATTCAGTGACGTCAGGACTCCTGTCTAGTAACGAGGGACACGTCAGGAATCTCTTCGAGGCTAGGCAGGGATAAAGGGACGCTTCTCGAGGTGGGGCAGGGCACCCAAGGACACTTTCCAGTAGCCACAGGGATTTTGCGATTCCTCAGTATTCAAGAGGAGTCAGGCATCATCACCTTTTGAAGCAGTGAACTCCGCGTGCCTCCCAAGGTGTCAACGCGATGTGAGGCATTCCGTCAAAATGAGGCAGGAACCTAGGGCTCTCTAAAATCTACACAGGGGATTCAGACATCCGTTTCTACTGTGAGATGAAGGACGAGCCTGTATTCAAGCCACTGCAAGGAAATCCGGCCTCCTTTCAAGTAAGGGCTTCTCCTTGTATATTCCACTTGAGGCAGCAAACTCGGGTCTATGCCACATACCGATTGCTGAGAGAAGCCTCCTCTTGAGGTGCTTCTGGAAAGTTGGCATACGTCTTGAGCCTAAGCCAGTGAATCAGCTCTCATCTCGAGACGATTTAGGGTACACGGAGCATTCCACGAATTGCTGTCCTGAAGTTGGTGTTCCTCTAGACTTGGGACAGTGTTCTCGGGGCATCTGTGGAGTTGCCTGAAGGAAGTCAAGCCACTGGTGATGTTGAATGGGGAACTGTGGATGGCTCTGGAGTCAATGCAGGGGAATCGGGCCTCATCTCGAGTTGATATGGGGCACATAGAGCTGCTCTGCGTTGCTGGGTGACCTCAGGGTCCGTGTAGACTTGTGACAGTGTTCTTGGGGACTGTCTCGAGATCCATTAAGCAAGTCTAAGCTCCTGACTTGTTTGATGGGGATCATGGAATAGCTCTGAATGCACTGCAGGGGAATGGGGCCTCATCTTGCCTCTAGGGGGAAGTCTCATGGTTTTTCTCAAGTTTCGGCGGGAACCTGGGGTATGTTCTCGACTTACGGCGGGGATGGCCCTTCAAAACAAGTGTTTATTCAGTGACGTCAGGACTCCTGTCTAGTATCGAGGGACACCTCAGGAATCTCTTCGAGGCTTGGCAGGGCAAAAGGGACGCTTCTCGAGGTGAGGCAGCACACGCACGGACCGTTTCCAGTAGACACAGTGATTTTGGGATTCCTATCAGTATTCAAGAGGAGTCAGGCATCGTCACCTTTTGAAGCAGTGAACTCCGCGTGCCTCTCGAGGTGTCAACGGGATGTGAGGCATTCCCTCAAAATGAGGCAGGTACCTAGGGCTTTCTCTAAGGTCTACACAGGGGATTCAAGCATCCCTTCATGTTTTGAGATCAAAGACGAGCCTGTATTCAAGCCACTGCAAGGAAATCAGGCCTCCTTTCAAGTTAGGCATTCTCGTTGTATATTCCACTTGAGGCAGCAAACTCGGTGTCTCTCCCACATACCGATTGCTAAGAGAAGCCTCCTCTTGAGGTGCTTCTGGAAAGTTGGCATACGTCTTGAGCATAAGCCAGGGAATCAGCTCTCACCTCGAGTTGATTTGGGGCACATGGAGCGGCCCTGCGTTGCTGGGGTGACCTCAGGGTCTGTCTAGACTTGTGACAGTGTTCTTGGGGACTTTCTCGAGATCCATTAAGCAAGTGGAAGCTCCTGACGTGTTTGACGGGGATCACGGAATAGCTCTGCATGCACTGCAGGGGAATGGGGCCTCATCTCGCCTCTAGGGGGAAGTCTCATGGTTTTTCTCGAGTTGCGGCGGGAACCTGGGGTATGTTCTCGAGTTACGGCGGGGATGGCCCTTCAAAACACGTGTTTATTCAGTGACGTCAGGACTCCTGTCTAGTAACTAGGGACACCTCAGGAATCTCTTCGAGGCTTGGCAGGGCAAAAGGAACGCTTCTCGATGTGAGTCAGGGCACCACATGGCACTTTCCAGTAGCCATAGGGATTTTGGGATTCCTATCAGTATACAAGAGGAGTGAGGCATCGTCACCTTTTGAAGCAGTGAACTCCGCGTGCCTCTCGAGGTGTCAACGGGATGTGAGGCAACCCGTCAAAATGAGGCAGGGACCTAGGGCTTTCTCCAAGGTCTACACAGGGGATTCAGACATCTGTATCTACTGTGAGATGAAGGACGAGCCTGTATTCAAGCCACTGCAAGGAAATACGGCCTCCTTTCAAGTTAGGGCTTCTCGTTGTATATTCCACTTGAGGCAGCAATCTCGGGTCTCTACACATACCGATTGCTGAGAGAAGCCTCCTCTTGAGGTGCTTCTGGAAAATTGGCGTACGTCTTGAGCCTAAGCCAGGGAGTCAGCTCTCATCTCAAGACGATTTGGGGTACACGGAGCATTCGTCAAGTTGCTGTCCTGAAGTTGGTGTTCCTCTAGACTTGGGACAGTGTTCTTGGGGCATCTCTGGAGTTGCCTTAAAGAAGTCAAGCCACTGGTGGTGTTGAACGGGAACGGGGGATGGCTCTGGAGTCAATGCATGGCAATTTGGCCTCATCTCGAGTTGATCTGGGGCACATGGAGCTGCCCTGCGTTGCGGGGGTGACCTCAGGGTCCATCTAGAATAGTGACAGTGTTCTTGAGGACTGTCTCGAGATCCATTAAGCAAGTCGAAGCTCCTGACTTGTTTGATGGGGATCATGGAATAGCAATGCATGCACTGCAGGGGATTGGGGCTTCATCTCGCCTCTAGGGGGAAGTCTCATGGTTTTTCTCAAGTTGCGGCGGGGACCTGGGGTATGATCTCGAGTTATGGCGGGGATGGCCCTTCAAAACCCGTGTTTACTCATTGACGTCAGGACTCCTGTCTAGTAACGAGGGACACCTCAGGAATCTCTTCCAGGCTTCTCAGGGCAAAAGGGACGCTTCTCGATGTGAGGCAGGGAACGCAAGTACCCTTTCCAGTAGCCACAGGGATTTTGGGGTTCCTATCAGTATTCAAGAGGAGTCAGGCATCGTCACCTTTTGAAGCAGTGAACTCTGCGTGCCTTTCAAGGTGTCAACGGGATGTGAGGCATTCCCTCAAAATGAGGCAGGGACCAAGGGCTTTCTCTAAGGTCTACACAGGGGATTCAGACATCCCTTTCTATTGTGAGATGAAAGACGAGCCTGTATTCAAGCCACTGCAAGGAAATCCGGCCTCCTTTCAAGTTACGCCTTCTCGTTGTTTATTCCACTTGAGGCAGCAACCTCGGGGTCTCTCCCACATACCGATTGCTGAGAGAAGCCTCCTCTTGAGGTGCTTCTGGAAAGTTGGCATACGTCTTGAGCCTAAGCCAGGGAATCAGCTCTCATCTCGAGACGATTTGGGGTACACGGAGCATTCCTCGAGTTGCTGTGCTGAAGTTGGTGTTCCTCTAGACTTGGGACAGTGTTCCTGGGGCATCTCTGGAGTTGCCTGTAGGAAGTCAAGCCACTGGTGATGTTGAAATGGGAACGGGGGATGGCTCTGGAGTCTACGCAGGGGAATCGGGCATCATCTCGAGTTGATTTGGTGCACATGGAGCTGCTCTGCGTTGCTGGGGTGACCTCAGTGTCCGTCTAGACTTGTGACTGTGTTCTTGGGGACTGTCTCGAGATCCATTAAGCAAGTCTAAGCTCCTCACTTGTTTGAATGTGATCACGGAATAGCTCTGCATGCACTGCAGGGGAATGGGGCCTCATCTCGCCTCTAGGGGGAAGTCTCATGGTTTTTCTGGAGTTGCGGCGGGGTCCTGGGGTATGTTCTCGAGTTACGGAGGGGATGGCCCTTCAAAACA